CTCTAATTTACTGTGGCTTCCCGTAAGACCTGCTCAGTAATATGGCTTATTGATGAGGCCACAGGGAGTGTGTACGTGTATGTGTGTTGCATGTGTGTGTTTGCATTACTGAGTGTTTTCAGTGCTTGTGTACCCACAGCGGAGATGAAATATCTGCCGTGCTACAGATAAATATGGTCAGTCCATGGGTGATGTATGCACACATAAATATTTACTCTCTCTGTGTGTGAATGTGTCTGTTTGTGAGACACTTTGATAGCTGTGGGTCAGGTGAAGAGTGAATGTGTAAATGTTTTTATAGGGTGTATACTATTATGTGGCATATTTTGTTTTCCATTGATTAGTTTTTTTTCCTGCATTTGTTCTAAATTCATGACATTACTATTTTGAGAAGAGGAGAGGAAACATGATCAGTGAGCTGGGAGAGCTCTTGAACAGGAAATTGGACAGTGGTGAAAAACAAGACAAAATACAGCCACGGCAGCGTCTCTGGAGTTTGGAGGTGCCAACAGGTTGACACTACACACACAGAATACACCAAAGTGATTTTCCAACTATGCACTCAGACGGACATCGTTTAACTCTCCGACATGCAGACGCATACACAAACATTTATTCATAGGTACACATATGCGCAGAAGTGAGGAGAGGTTGATGGACGCTGAACCGCTGGTCCCTCTGAGATCACCACATTCTCCATGTGCCATTAACCTCAAAGATGGATGGAGGGAGGGAAGCAGTGGTAAAGTGGTGATCAGGTAGATCAGGGGAAATCTTGGAAGGCCGGTAACATTTTGATGACTCTTGTTTTGGAATTGGGTTTCAGAACAGAGGCTCTTATTGGTTTGTGGTTTTCTTTCCAGTGGCCAGGGCTGACCTTATTTTCGGGAACCTGCTTTGGGGGGCCCTTTACAAAACCACTGATTTTGGTGATTAAAAAAAGAAAATGTGCAGGGGGGTCTCAAGGCAGTTGGTCGGACTCCCGAAAGTGAATCCCACTTGGCTCCTGGACAGAAAGAGGGGAAAAGAGAGTGGAGAGTGACAATGTGTGGAGAGAAGACAGGAAAAGGTAAGGAAAGGAAAAAAAATTGATGAAATGCAATGGAAGAGACAAGGACAAATAAATGGGTAAAAAATAAACTAATGTATGAGTAAACAAGGAAGGACAACTTAGAAAGGAACTGGTGCCAAAAATGAGTGATACACAACAGAGACAGTGATGAAAAACTACCAAAATATTTAGAAAGCAATGAAATGAAAGAAACTGATACATAAAATCATTCATCAAATCAACAGACCAAGAAAGAGCGATAGAGGATGCAGTGTGCAGGGAAGGTGTGGACAGGGCCAGTAGTGCTTGTCGACAGGCCAGCGGACAAGTTCTTCCCCTGACGCAGAGCAAGGATCACCTTACCCTCTACTGGTTTCACAGCTCTGTTGCAACACCACACACACACACACACACACACACACACACACACACACACACACACACACACACACACACGTTTTTATATAAATGCATTACTTCAATAACTCCTCTCCATTTAATGTGTGAAACCTCATAAGGCAAAGCAAAAGAAGAAAAGGCAGAAGAAATAACACCAGCTTTGGCACACAGGGTCACGCAGCCTGTCAAAAAATCGAGCAGTTATTAGTAACAGAAAAAACAACACCTCAGTACTAACTCCACTGCTGAAATTATCTCTGATGCTGTTTTTTTATGTCACAAAAATGGCTGCTTAGAATCAAGTTAAAACAAAAAACAAACACAATCTTTATTGTCATTTAAACAAAACTTAATATTGGTTGTTTCGTCTTGACCGAAGATCACCTGGATTATGTAAAAGACTTTACATAGGACAGTGTAGATGGAGCGATGAGGATATGACGTATGAGTAGAATATCAGCTTGTGATCATTGATCATTATGAGTCAGGTTATTCTGGAACACAATCAATTAAATGACACTATTGTAGGTGGAACATAGAATGCAAATGTGTCTCAGGCTAAAAGCAAATTCTGAATCTTCAGCACTATTGGTGGTCCAAGTCCTGCATACCTGGCTGAGGCCACTTTCGGACTCACTTAAGCCGTGCATGAAAAAACCCTGCCCTCTCATTCATTTCAGCATGGCGATACAATGGGGGTGCCAGGTCAGGGGCCTCCTGTGAAACAATGTAGGGTCATCCGGCAAAATAGTTGAAACAGACGCAACTTTTGCTGGACTGCAAGGTGTCGTCATGCAGCAAAACGCTGTGGTGGCAAGTGCAAACATGGTAGATTACTTTACTCCTGTCTCACATATTACTCAAACTGGACTTCGTGGGTTGTATTTCATCACTGTAATGCTGAGTTAAGATATTTGACAAGAGTGGCAACACATAAATATAGCCCAACAAATTCATCTTAACATACTCTGACATAAGAACTTTGCAGGTAGCTTTCAGTGAGGGAAAAACACAGAGGGACTGTGTGTGGGCACGAGGAGCATTTCTGTCCATTTCCCTAAAATGGATTTTCGGTGATGTCACTGGTGAATTCTGGGAAACCCAGTCTTCTGCTTGGCAAGCAGAAAAGGTGTCATGGATTAGCATATCCTAGTTTCACAACATACTGTTGTAAGTTATACAGAAGAATGCGTGAAGGGAAAGTCCAGAAGGCTTGAGTCCATGTGGCGAGTTGGTGTGAATTCAGAAAGATTCTCATAAGTTATTGCTTACTTTATCTGTCCGAAGTCTCGCTGCCAACTGGTGGATACTGAGATTTAAGGTACTTTTTACATTCAGCATGCTCTGTTCCTCTGTGAAACCAAAACCGGAGCTACATTTTTACTCAATATTTCACTTCAGCTAAAGGACTAAATGCCTTTCTGCAGATAAAAAAAATAGAAAAACAAAAGTTAAAAAAGGCAGTTTTCTGTTTCAAAAAAATCTAAATGACAAGATTAAAAGATTTAACAGTACTAGTATTATGTGGTACTGTTCTGGGACTCATCAGGTAGATTCCTAACAGCCTGGCATGTCTTCCTCTTCTCTATTGGTCAAAACAAGACATTTCTAATAACTGCGGCTCTGTGGAATGTTACATTGATATTAGCATCTGCTCTCATCACTTGACAGATTCCAGTTGGCCAGGGTGGGTTTAGTTTCAGTGGAAAGACACAGGACGAGGGGAGCAAGAGGGGAGAGAGGTACAGGTTACAGAGGTCGAACGACTAGAGGGACCCAAGGAATGAGTAGGGTGACTATTACTCTCTCACTTTCACACACACACACACACACACACACACACACACACACACACACACACACACACACACACACACACACACACACACACACACACACACACACACACACACACACACACACACACAGGCTAGCCATGGAAAAAGAACTTAATACCTTCAGACCTCCAGAGATGTTAGGAAACATCTGAGTGACAGTTTGATGGTGTGTATGTGTGACTGCGTGTGTGTGTCACATGTCACTGTCCTGAACTGAAACCAGTGATTCACCTGTCTACTGGTAATTGTAGGCCTATTACAGTAAAAGTAAAACTGATCAGAAAATGAGAATATGGAGGATTTACCTCCTTTACCACCCACGGCTGTGGTCAAATAAGTAATCATATGTCATTGTTTAAGATTCTTTGATCTTAGAAAACCTCACAAAAAGTTGAAGGGGATATAAATAATTGTCACATGATGTAAAAAAAAAGCAAAAAAAAAAAAGCATCAGCATTTGTGTGATTTTCTTTTCTGTCATTAAAGAGGTTTAAAAGAGATTTTCTTCCCACAAGATAACTCGGTGCGCAATGTGATTTTTACTGAGCGGTCAATGGTGAGTTCAGCTGTGTCATTATGGCCTGCGTGTGTGCATCTGTGTGTGAATGTGTGTAGGGTGTGTCCTGGGAAGCCATAATGAGAGCCAAGGTTTGGTTAGTTTTTCAGACCACAAGCTTTGGTGTCGCTACAGGCCCTAAAACACACCTCCTACTGACATCCACTCTATATCATACTGCTGAGTGAGAGAGAGAGAGGGAGGGAGGGAGAGAGAGAGAGAGCTGATACAGTAGAGCCAGTTTTAAACACTAAGTGTACAGAAATTCAGTCAACTTAAATGCATCCCCTCCCACCCCACTTAAATTATCCCCTGGCTATTTGCCATTCAACCCCATGTCTGTGTCTGTGTGTCTCAGCATTGTATTGCTGTCCATATCTTCCTCCCCTTGTTTAGATTCTGTTTGCCACTGACCCATGTGCCCTTGGTAAACAGCTTTGTGCCCTGGCCTGCAGACAAGTGTGTGTGTGTGTGTGTGTGTGTGTGTGTCTGTGCATTTGAACAAAGGTGTGTTCATTTTTGCATCCAAGAGCTAAAGAATTGTTATCATAATTGCTGCTCTGCATGACAAGTAAACATGTCTTTTTCACAGAAAATAACATTCTGATGTTAATTTTCATAGTAAGTCAAATATTATTAGTAATAAATAGGACAATTGTGATCAGTTTATATGTGCACATGGTCAGTGTTTCCGCTGCACTTCTATAAACCAGCACCAGGTTCCTTTTAAAGCTCCCAGCACTACTACAAAGCTCATAAAGCTGTGCTGTGGGCCTCTTCTTTCCCTGTTTTCTGCCTTTCTTCTCTCCACCTCCTGCTCTTTAATACTAAAGACAGAGAGTAAGGTGGAGGAAGAAAAGAGAGAGCTGGGAATGAAATAAAAAAGCATCAAGAAAGAGAAAGGAAATGGGTGAGAAACAGAAAGAAATTTGGTGTAAATGAATCAGAGGGAGAAAGTGGGTAACATATAGGAAGGTAAGAGAGGGTGAGGCAAAAAGAGAGAGAGAGAAGGGAGTGAGAGGGAGATGAAACTGCTCTTTAATCAGTGAGGGTTCTATGTGGAGGCGGGCCAAGGTGCCTACTGTAATCCGATACAGGCTCGCGCGCATGGCGTGCACGCACCCCGAGGCAGGGGACTGAGTGAGCAGTCCTGATCGCTGCCACAAACCGGCGGAGATCGGAGGGGAAGGAGCGCACTGCCGGAGCTGCCGGGAGAGGGAACGAACAGAGAGAGACAGAGAGAGAGAGAGAGACACACACATATACTGTCAAGTAGAGAGAGAGAGAGAGGGAGCGGGCATAGAAGAGCGTGTTTCAGCGAACAAACGCACAGTTTGCAGGAGGAGTGCGGAGAGGCTGCACGTTTATTTTCTCCCGATCAGTTTTACGCACGCCGGAGCCAGGAGATCTTGTGGTCTCTTTTGCGCAAGAGCAAACTGTTACCGGGACAGTGTATTAAGAGGGAAATCGATGGGGAAATATTTCCTTCTTTCGTAATCACATGTGCTTTTACCAGGTAAATGCGCAATTGGGAAGAGAAACCACAGCAAAATATTTTGGGATATTTTATCGAGACAAGGAGGAAACACTTTTTTTTTCAGCTTTTGGCAAACTTAATGCTTGTCGGCACATGTTTCTGTTGGTTCCCGGTGGTTTCAACCAGTGATTTCTACTGTGTTTGAAATTAATGATTTTGTCTGTCAACCAGTGTGTCGGCAAGGTTTATATTCCCCACGCGCGTTGTGACTGACTAGGGGACACAGTGCTACCGACTGCGCGCACCGCAATGGATTTTGAGGGTTTAAAATGTGTTTAGAGTAGAAGTCGCGCTGATTTCAGATCAATTTGCGCAGAGTATTTTCACCAAGAGAAGAAGCACACACCGAGTCGTGCAAACAGTGTGAAAACATTGTTCATAACCAGCGCGACATTCTTGGAGAGCCTGGTGAACGCAACCCGGCATTGGTGGAGGATTTCGGGCACTGATTGTGTTGCGCTTCAAAGACATACAGAACTGTGGAAAAGGAGAGGAAAAGCGGACTTTGGACTGCAGCTTTGTCTCAGATATACAGAATAAAACAACAGAGGAGGAGAAGAGGTGTTTTTTTCTCCACATCCAGGGAAAAAAGATGGATTTATTCATATGGCTCTGTGGATGTTTACTGGCTTTTCTCTTGCCTTCAGCAATCAAAGCAGAGGAAGGAGGTAAGTTTGACACTTTTGCTGCCCGCTCAAATCGCACTGTCACACGTAGGTGTTAGATAGATCACCCCGTTTTTTTTTTTTTTGATTTTCCAAATCCACATCACAAATAGAGAGTCTATAAAACGCAGTGGAGATGGGCTGTTGTTTCCCCGTCAAACCAAAATGTGTAAAGAAAGTAAAACATTTTTAAGGAAACCAAAATCATTACGTGTTTTGTGAGGGTCTACACTAGCCTTCACTTTTCAGATAATGTGTTCATCATTATAGTGCCGAGGTACATTGATTAGTTCAGTTTGAGCACAGTCTCTCACAGAGAGAGAGATCCCTGCTGCAAGATGTCATCTTGTCTCAGAGGTGGAAAGGTTAAGATTAAAAAAAAGTAAGGAAACAACTTGTAATGAATGATCGACGAAACGAAATCTGTTAAAATACATTTCCCGATAGACATTTGCGCTAGGGTTAATGCGTGATGTCGCCCGTTTCTATTCGCGGACAACTTACTAACAAGATGGTTTTGCAGATAAGTATTATCAACACCTACAACGTTTCTATGGTCCCACTCCAAATGCTGTGAGCTTTCTGTAGCTTTATCAATATCAATCCTCAGGAGAGCTGTTCAATAAAGAAAAAAATCTGTATAACGTTCCTATAATATTCCTATCAGGACTAATGTCAGTGCCAGCGGTCTGTGAGGCAGCTGCTCAATACAGTTTATAGTGACTTTATCGCTCTTGTTTTATCTCTTAAGGTGTCACTATGATGTAGTCTTATGACATTCATAGAAAGCCTTTAACCCCGATGCTGGGAGCTGCATGCAACAGGGCTCTCTTTTCAAATGTCACTGTCGATTGTGCGAGGAGGTGGCGGCTGTCTCCGTCTACCGGGGGCCAGCACCGGCGCTCTAGACGCACGGAGGTCCCGTTACATCATGCCTGCAACGACCGAGGCTGCGGAGGTCTGTCTCTTCCCCAGTCCGTGTGCGGGATGGGGTTTTGTAGCTATGAGCAGTTTACCTTCGCACATACGCACAGGCTCTGACGTGAGAAACGGTACAAAATCTGCGGTTTATATTCGATTAAAAGTGGCTAGGCAAATTGGCACGCTCATTGCGCGGGTCTAATGCAAATCACGTTGGTATTTGTACATTTTAAGTCAGCATTAAACAATCTTTACGCACACGGCAAACACTAAAGCTACTCTTTCATGCCTTGAGCTCCTGTGCTGCACAGGCTGGAGAAAAGTGCTTTAGTGTATACCTACCTGTAGTGACTCCAGGTGAAGGCATCAAATGCCACTTAAATTCTCTGTTAAGCGGCCACAGGTGGGCGTTTATGGGTAGTTTGAAGTGTCTCAGCCAATGAGAACAAAGGACCAGGACTAGTTACTTTATAAACCAAATGAGTTTTAAGAAAAGGCAATTTACATACAGCAGTATTCGACTTCCTGTCTTGGATTTGTAAGAAAAAAATGTAATTTTTTTTCTCCTTTCAAAGAGACTGGCAGCCTCAACTACAGTGCTCATGACAAATTATTCACCACAAACACTCTCATTGCCTTTAATAGTTTCTCATAGCTGCAAAAACGAGAGAACTTGGCGGAATCATTTTTTAAATCTCACCTCAAGGCCCATTTTATGCTTTGAGAGAGAGGGGAAGCTGTGGAGAAGCTGGTTGCATTCTAGGTTTTATTCATTTAGAGCTTATTCAGGAGGCAAGCAGGGCTTTTGCAGATCTCATGACTTGGATTGAGTGGCCTGTCTGCCAAATGTTGTTTTGGAGAAAAACAGAGAGCACAGTGGAGGCTTTCTTTACGTTCCATTTCACCTCTGATGTGAGGAGATGGAGCAAACTGCTATGTGTGGAGATTTAAACTGAAATCTGAAAGTCAATTTGGGCAACTGGGAACAACCAGTTGGGGTGATGTCACCTCTAAATGTTTAGATTTACACAAATAATCGATAACCACTGACATTGTTTGTAGAAACTATAGTATTTCTGACCAACATTTTAGTAGGAAGTGAGGAATGTGATTCTATAGCACAGCAAAAATACAAAGGGAAGTTGTGGTGAGTAGAAGAGGGTTTGTTCATCTCCAACCAACCGTCATCATTGTTTTTCTTTAACCACGACCACAATCTTTCCCCAACATTCAAAGATACTGACAGATGTTTTTTTTCATATAAGCACTTGTTGATATACGGTTATTTTTCTGAGAACAGAGTATCTGTTGACAAAAGCTGAACCTTCCTTTTTCTGGGGACTCCCTGAAGCTTCCTTTCTGTTGGCACAATGAGAACCACTGGAGCACACATGCTCAGCAGTAGGCTGTGCAGGATGAAGCTTCCTCAGCAGTAAACTTTTACAGATGCCTCTGCTCCGTTGTCTCCGGAGAGATGAGCAAGGACAGCACAGTGAGACTAAGAAGTGTATATATAGAGAGAGACAGGAGGGAGGGATGGAAGTACAGGGGGGAGGAAGCAACAGAGACTGAAACAGGCAGAGAGAAGCTGCTAAAAGAAGTGAACGAAACGGAAGAATGATTTTTAGCCTCGCTGTTTGATCCTGTTTCTTCATTCCGTTTGATCACAGCTGTGCCTGGAAGGGAGATAAACGGACATAATTGGCCACTCAAGACCAGCTGTCTGCCTCTATAGTGTCTCTGCTGAAATATGCTGGATGATGAAACAGGCTTACTTGGTGCACAGTGTGAGAATTAAGCCAGCAGTGGGGTGAATTGCCCACAGGTATGCACTAAGGACTGGTTTATGAGACTGTTTTTGATGGCTTCAACCAAACCAAAGTTTAAAAGTACAATACAGAGGGGAAGAGAGTGTTTGTCCAGCTTTTGGGGTGAAAAAGTAAATTCAATCTATATATAGGGTTTGACATAGGTTTAAGGGTCACAAATTCTGCAAATGAACAGTATGGCTGTACAAGCCAGAGGAGGCTGGATGTTGCTTTTAATTATTGGCTCATTGTATTGCAGAATTTTGCTACTGTATATGTGTCCTGAGTGTGACTGGGCTTTCTAATATATTCGCTAGCCTTAAGCTTTAGCCCCACTTCTGCTTGTTATAATTAAATGTCATATTGGTGTGGGTCATAATGCTTTGTAAGCTCCAATTGGCCATCAATAAAACAAAGCATCCATGGGATTTGTTGATACAATGTTTTCGCTGACAACATAATGAATTACCTCGCTGCCACTAACTCAGTCATTCTGTCTCATTACCTTGTGTTGGAAAAGATCAGCTATTACCCAGCAATACTGTAGATATTATATCCTATAAATATGCATTTAACTGTATTTGTTCATTTCCATCTGTGTCTTGTAATCTTGTGTTTCCATGGATAATTACTCATTAGTGCATATGAAGATTGGCTAGGGTATAGAAAGGCTGGTAATACATTAGCGTATTATGGCAAGTCAAATAACAGAGTATGAAAGAGTGAAAGAATGAATGTTCAATGTTAGGAGTGAAATATATTGCAGAAGCTATAAAAAGAAAGGGCAATTAGTTCCTCTGAAAGCAGCTCATCCATACATGTTTGTCTGTGCCATATTTTCTTGTAATTTTCTATCTAAGTGAGTTTATCACTGCTGCATTATCAGATGTGTTAGATGATTCACTGGCATGGGCTTGTGAACTTTCATCCCAGTGAAGCGCACTGACAGAATTAAGCAATAAAATGGGTGAACAGAGATGGAAAGTAAAAGAAAGAAATGGAGAGAGCAAGGAATCATGAGTATTTTGTAGAGCAAAAGAGACAGGGAAGGGGCGAAACAGAGAGGGAGAGAGCGTAAGAGGGCATTAGCGAAATAAGAGGAAAGCAGCAGAGTGTGAAGCAGTAGTTGAGTGGAGCCACCTGCAGTAAACCAACCCAGATTTATTCCTCCCCTCTGTCAAGCACAGGAGGGTTTCTGGCCAGGGTAAAGCATATTGTTAATAAATAATCTGATTATAATATAGACAAAATATATAATTATCTAAATAATTATCTTGAGGAGAATGAAATTACATTATAATTGAAGGAATGATTTGGCGATTGATTCTTTTTCAGTGTCTGCTGGCGTAATAGTCAATCTTATTGAAACCATAGCACAAACCACCTGTTCACAAAGAGGTCATGAAATGAATTCAACTCAGATCACATCCCTTTATCGTGATGGTCAGATTTCAATCTTTGAATGTGACAAATTACTATGCTAATCTCTGGCAGGTGACACAGGTGCTGGAGACTTTCTTCAAATTTCATTTTAATTATCTTGCAGGTAACAGGTGTTTTCCAGCAGGTTTCCGGGATTAAGGGCTATCCTTATTCATCATGTGACTCAGACTGCCGTGTTTTTTCCACTTTCTCTTTTTTAAGGCACATGCAAGTAATAATACATCTCAAGAAAACCCATTTAAATTAGCCATACAAAAAACAAAATGTGAATTTCAAATGAGGACATTAGTCTTCCCATCATTAGAATAATAGTGGTTTAACAACAGCGGGGCTGGTCCACTGACATCAACAACCTAGTTTTCAGTGAGCGAATAAACATTAAGCTAATTAACCTTCGGCACAGTCTCTCTTTCTCCCTCTCTCTCTTTGTCTCTCCCTCGTCTGTAAAAGGGAAAGGACAATTAGTGGGTCCAGCAGGATGTTCTAATTACAGTTATCATGTCATTAGTAAACTGTTAGTATTTTAGTGTCTTCATTGGCCATTGGTAATGACTGGAGTAATTAGAGAGGATGGGGGGAGATCAGTGTGTGAGTGTGTGTTCTTGTATTTGTACGCTTCTGAAAAAAATAAATGTCCTCAGAGGGAAGGGGAGATCATGGAAATCTTTCAAATGAGAACATTTGCCTGTCCTCACTTCTTTTAAAACCTTCACCGACAAAGAAAAACGTGTTTGTGTGTAAGCTAAGCCTTCTGTGTCCTCACCAGTCCCTCCAGAGCCGTGCCGTGCGAGGCCACAGGTTGTTTTCCTTTTTCTCTCTCCCTTCACGCTG